CTTTAGTGAACTAATCCTCCACATCATAGTTTATGTTTTGGTTCTAAAGTGCATCGTTTCGTGGTGACTTTGGTCCAGTTAAAGTGCTATAGTTCCTGTGGCAGAGTGGTTAGCCTCCTGTGGCAGAGTGGTTAGCCTCCTGTGGCGGAGTGGTTAGCCTCCTGTGGCAGAGTGGTTAGCCTCTGCTCTTCAGACTTGTGAATGTTTTCTGTGTTTGCTGCTGAATCATGAGGCCGATGTTAAAGTTCGAGTTAAAAGTATATTGTAAAGTTGTTTTATTTTGACAATAAAAAATATTTTTATTTCATGTTTTTGTGGCTGATCTTGAACGTTATTTGTAGTTTTCATGGACTATTTTCACAAACTTTTTTACTTGGGGTGGTTTCATTTTCAGGACAAACAGCAAAAAGCTTCTCTTTAGCATCTGGAATAAACGAGGTGAGGAAAGCAAAATAAGTTCACAAGAAATAAAGAGTGTTGTATTTATAAATACGTGACATTCTAAAACCATGTGTTTTATGACCTAGCTAACCTCTAAGTGGGAGGCCAGTCCTTCTTATTTTATTTTAGGTGTCTTCTTGTGCCAGCAACTGGACAACAGATTCTCCTGTTTGGATTTCAACCCCCTAGTCTTGGCCTGCTGACTTCTGCACTTTTCAACCTCACTCCATCAGGAGTCTGGCAGACGGAGGAAAAGGCTGGACCCTAGACCGGAAGCTGGCTGATAGGACACTCCCCTCCTTCCTGTTCTTTTTATATGCTCTGGCTTGGGGAGAAACGGAAGAATCAGCCGAGGGCCAGAGAGAGGGACATATTAGTTTTAGGAGCACTCTTTTGTTGATTTCTGTATCTGATTGTAAAGATAATTAAATGCAGATGTTAAACTTGGATATCTTCGTCTGATTTCTGTACCAAATTGTGGACACGCGAGCCAAAGGGAATTATTGGCTTCAAGAGCAAGAAGAAAAAAAACAGACAAAGTTACGCGACAGCAACGACTGGTTACAGATCCAGGCTGATTACCGATAAACCAGCCTCGAACCATGGATGTATTATATTAACTGGATAGAGTATTACAGCTTGTAGCTGAATAACTCACGTGCTCAGGGGATTCTCGCGGTACTGCAGACTGAACCAGACTGAACCAGACTAAATTCACGTGGGCTACCCAGAAAATTTCCCCATAGAACTCAATGCATATTAAAACAGCTCGACCTCAGCTGACAGAGAACCTGACAGAGAACCTACAGCTTTCATAAAGATCGGATTTTGTGGGGATGTTAGTGTCCCTTGTCATCCTGAACTTTTTTTCTTCTTAAATCCTTCGGTTTTGTTTAAATCCACACTTTAGTGCCACAAACTCTGCTCCTCTGGCTCTCGCTCTAACTCCCGCTCTGATGAACTGCTCTGATTGGTCAGAGCGCGGCCGAGCCCCTCTGTGCACGTGCGTGAGACCCTCTGTGCACGTGCGTGAGACCCGGTGTGAGACCCACACACGCGTGTTTGGCGCAACGCATCATGGGAGATCATCCACTGCACAGAACCGGCCCCGGGAGGACCAGACGATGCCCAAATACAGGCGAGTTTCCCATAGATCTTTGAGAGTTTCAGGCGACTTCCGCTAATCTTTCAGCCCCCATGCCGTCACAAAGCGCCACTGAGCACAACCATTCATTTGAACAGGGCGCCATCTTGGATCGCCGGGGCTTGCCTCGAACATGAAACGGCAGAAAAACGAGCTAAGCTAGTTAGCAACGGTTAGCATGCTAAATATGCTAAAACGATCCAATTACCATAACAGAAGTACATAAACGTAAATATTAAGATTAAACCCTCGCCAGTCTCCCAGCTGTGATGAAAGAAACTTGTCATAAATGTGTGTTCCTCCATAAAGTAGTGGTTTTAGTGCAAAACAAACCGTTTAGAAAGTCTCATAACTTTATTCAACAAAATAATGAAATGAGCTCTAACTTAAACACTCAGAGACCTGTTATTTGGAAGTTTGACACAAACACATGTTAAAATATTAAGAGACGTGATTGTACAGCAATATTACAAAAAGCAGCAAATAATAATGAAATTACAAGTTTTACACATTTTACAAGTTTTAACATTTTTATAGATAAAAATAATATAAAACAAGTGGAATTGTCGGTTTTCAACTACATTCGACAGGATTAGCTTGAAATGCTAACAGCGCTAACGTGAATGTAACACTGGTCTTTAGGAGTAAGACTTGACAAAAAGAACAAAACCATCGTTTGAGACACTTATAAGTAAAAGAAATGTAAAAAAACTGTTTTTTTGGCGACAGAAACTGAAGTTTGTTTGCTTCTTACAAAAATAGTTTCAAATGTTTTGTCGGTAACACTTGTGGTACATTTTCAAATTGATAAAAACAGAAAACATTATGTAACTTCTTGCTCATTGTGCAGTTATGTGTATGTTAGCATAGCTAGCAAAATGGACCTTTTGCGCTAATATGTATGTGTTAGCATAGTAAGCAAAACAACCTATTGAGCTAATATGTATATGTTAGCACAACGACCTATTGAGCTAATATGTATATGTTAGCACAACGACCTATTGAGCTAATATGTATATGTTAGCATAGTTAGCAAAACAGACTAATTGTGTTAATTTGTGCAGTTCTGTTTAGCTCGTATGCTAACATAAACATGACTCATGGCTTTTGTGTTTCTAGAAAAACAAATATTTTATTTTCTTTAAAACAAAGACACAGACATTTGTGGAAAAACAAATATTGACCACAGCAAAGTTATAGTAGAACCTAAAGTGTTTATCTGAGGGTTTATCTGTTAGCATTAGAGACCAGGCTGAAGCTAACAAAGTCTACTGTTAGCATTAGAGACCAGGCTGAAGCTAACAAAGTCTACTGTTAGCATTAGAGACCAGGCTGAAGCTAACAAAGTCTACTGTTAGCATTAGAGACCAGGCTGAAGCTAACAAAGTCTACTGTTAGCATTAGAGACCAGGCTGAAGCTAACAAAGTCTACTGTTAGCATTAGAGACCAGGCTGAAGCTAACAAAGTCTACTGTTAGCATTAGAAACCAGGCTGAAGCTAACAAAGTCTACTGTTAGCATTAGAAACCAGGCTGAAGCTAACAAAGTCTACTGTTAGCATTAGAGACCAGGCTGAAGCTAACAAAGTCTACTGTTAGCATTAGAAACCAGGCTGAAGCTAACAAAGTCTACTGTTAGCATTAGAAACCAGGCTGAAGCTAACAAAGTCTACTGTTAGCATTAGAGACCAGGCTGAAGCTAACAAAGTCTACTGTTAGCATTAGAGACCAGGCTGAAGCTAACAAAGTCTACTGTTAGCATTAGAAACCAGGCTGAAGCTAACAAAGTCTACTGTTAGCATTAGAAACCAGGCTGAAGCTAACAAAGTCTACTGTTAGCATTAGAGACCAGGCTGAAGCTAACAAAGTCTACTGTTAGCATTAGAAACCAGGCTGAAGCTAACAAAGTCTACTGTTAGCATTAGAGACCAGGCTGAAGCTAACAAAGTCTACTGTTAGCATTAGAGACCAGGCTGAAGCTAACGGACCGTTAAGTCAAAGGTCGCTTTGATCGTAAATACTTCGTCTTTGAACGTGTTTGTGTGAAGCTTGTGGAAAAGAGGAAATAATTAGTGAAAATTATGTGTAATTTGCCTTTTTCCACGTCAAAAAGCCTTGGTCAAAAACTGTTTGTGCTTTTTATCTCGAACACTTTCATCTTGAACTTTCTCCACGATCAGAAACTAACATCGTTTGTCATAGGACCAAAAACTATAAAAGTGAAACCAAAAGATTGGTCCAGTTCAGACTCTCCAAGTCTCACACTTCAGAGCAGTCTGTGAACGTGACATCACCACAGTGTGACATCACCACCGTGTGACATCACCACAGTGTGACATCACCAGTGCTGGAGCCAGTTTCCTTATTTGGGCATTTGTTCCGCTTGGAATCAGGGGCAGACCCGATTCTGAGTTGTGACGCCATCTGCAGGTGAAAGCCAGATCCTGTCAGACCTCTAAAGCTGCTGTTGGGACGCTGCGTTCAGGCGCCGGTAGGATTTTTAAGACTCGTGGTAAAAACAACAATACAAAAGTTCACAACAGTGGTGCACAGTGCAGAGGTCGTCGCCGTGGAGACGAACCCAACGTCTTCAAACACAAAGATTAAAAGTAAAGTGTAAAGGGCACAAGTGCTTTCAACAAAAACATTTACAAAAGAGATATTTGTTCAAGTGTTTGGTTTAAGGCAGAGAAGAGTCTAAACCAGGACCATAATGAGCCATGAGGGAGCTGAAGTTGGCTGAATGACAAAGGAACATCTCACTAGTGACATCACAGCGTTAGTGCGGAAGAGAAAGGTTTCTACATAAACTAGATTCAAGAGATTGTGTACGGAACGAGAGAGACCAGAATGAGATCAGAGAGAGAGAGAGACCAGAACAAGATCAGAGAGAGAGACCAGAACAAGATCAGAGAGAGAGAGACCAGAACAAGATCAAAGAGAGAGAGACCAGAACAAGATCAGAGAGAGAGAGACCAGAACAAGATCAAAGAGAGAGAGACCAGAACAAGATCAGAGAGAGAGACCAGAACAAGATCAGAGAGAGAGAGACCAGAACAAGATCAAAGAGAGAGAGACCAGAACAAGATCAAAGAGAGACCAGAGTGAGGGAGAAAGAGAGAGACCAGAGAGAGACCAGAGTGAGGGAGAAAGAGAGAGGGAGATAAGAGCGAGCCCAGATTTGTTTGAATCCCAAAAGACATCGTTAAAACCAGGAGCTGTAGCATTGGGAAAAACAGTGAGTTCTTTAGGATCAAATACTTCAAAAACATTTGTAACATTGGTGCAAATACGTCAGAGCAGTGAGTCGTGGATCCAAGTCCAGGTCCGGGTCCAGGTCCGGGTCAAAGAGTTCTGGAAGTGCTTAAATACAAAACAGGAATGACTTCTTCTTCATAACAAAACGGCCGCGAGGTTCAGATCAGGATCTCCACCATGTCACTGTCCACTTCCTGCTGAGTGGGCGGGGCTTGGTGGTGAGTGGGCGGGGCATGGAGAGGGACTCTGCGATCCAACGTGCTGCTGTGGAACACCTCTGGAAACACAAAACAACATGAGTCAAAGGACCCGCCCCCGGAGAAACCAGAAGGATTAAGAACTGAGAAATAAAGGAAATTATATTAGATTTTTACATTATACAAATATAAGATTATGACTGTTGCTTGAAGGCGAGACTGAAGAGCCCTGACATCAAGTCAGACGTGGCTCATATTTGGCTAAATTCATCTTAATTATAAAACTTTTTTACAGTCGTAAAACATTCATTTCCAGTGGCACTGAATCTAATAAAGACGAAGCTGCTGTTGTCGAAGTAAACAAGGCCTTAAACTCGTCGACTTCTCTCTCCTCCAGAAAGAACAGCTTCAGTCCTGATGGACAGGAGGGAAAGTTACGGTGCTTTTACACCGCCAACGCTGAGACGCTGAAGCCCCGCTCACCAGACGCTCATTCTCTAGTTTTCAGACGCAGAGGACTTCACACCAGAACGTCCTGACGCGAGCCGGAAGTACCGGAAGTAGCCGGCTCTGGTGCTAGCGGCTTCTTGTGTAAAGATCTTCTCCAATAATGCAGCTTTGCAGCATGTCTTTGAACAGAGACTTTCCACGGGCTTTATATAACAGTAGTATGTGTTCACAGAGGTGACTTTATATAACAGTAGTATGTGTTCACAGTGACTTTATATAACAGTAGTATGTGTTCACGGAGGTGACTTTATATAACAGCAGTATGTGTTCACGGTGACTTTATATAACAGTAGTATGTGTTCACGGAGGTGACTTTATATAACAGTAGTATGTGTTCACGGTGACTTTATATAACAGCAGTATGTGTTCACGGTGACTTTATATAACAGCAGTATGTGTTCACGGTGACTTTATATAACAGCAGTATGTGTTCACGGAGGTGACTTTATATAACAGCAGAATGTGTTCACGGTGACTTTATATAACAGCAGTATGTGTTCACGGAGGTGACTTTATATAACAGTAGTATGTGTTCACGGAGGTGCGCCATACATTTATTCATATTATTAAACAGTATTTCCGCATCGGCGAACACACTTGAAGCAGTTTCAGAAGGTCACGGGAGCATGATAACCCATATTTTCACAATCACAGAGTCCTCCATTGTCAGCCCTGGTTTGAGTTCTGGTGAAGTCTGGTGTGGGTCCTGTTTTGGCTGTTTACAGTATGTTCAGTCTGCTCGCTCAGTCCGCTAATGTCCCAGTGACCACTTTGCTGCTCTCTGATTGGTTGTCGCACGAACGTCCCGAGGAAAGGATGAGCAAAATCCATCTCCTGTGGGCGTTCATTTTTCGCTCCTGCTCCTCCCTTTTGACTTTCCCGCCAAGTCCGTGCGTCTCGACTGAACAGTCCGTGCGTCTCTACAGAACAGTCCGTGCGTCTCTACAGAACAGTCCGTGCGTCTCGACTGAACAGTCCGTGCGTCTCTACAGAACAGTCCGTGCGTCTCGACTGAACAGTCCGTGCATCTCTACAGAACAGTCCGTGCGTCTCTACTGAACAGTCCGTGCGTCTCTACAGAACAGTCCGTGCGTCTCTACAGAACAGTCCGTGCGTCTCTACAGAACAGTCCGTGCGTCTCTACAGAACAGTCCGTGCGTCTCTACAGAACAGTCCGTGCGTCTCTACAGAACAGTCCGTGCGTCTCTACAGAACAGTCCGTGCGTCTCTACTGAACAGTCCGTGCGTCTCTACAGAACAGTCCGTGCGTCTCTACAGAACAGTCCGTGCGTCTCTACAGAACAGTCCGTGCGTCTCTACAGAACAGTCCGTGCGTCTCTACAGAACAGTCCGTGCGTCTCTACAGAACAGTCCGTGCGTCTCTACAGAACAGTCCGTGCGTCTCTACAGAACAGTCTGTGCGTCTCTACAGAACAGTCTGTGCGTCTCTACTGAACAGTCCGTGCGTCTCTACTGAACAGTCTGTGCGTCTCTACTGAACAGTCCGTGCGTCTCTACTGAACAGTCCGTGCGTCTCTACAGAACAGTCCGTGCGTCTCTACAGAACAGTCCGTGCGTCTCTACAGAACAGTCCGTGCGTCTCTACTGAACAGTCCGTGCGTCTCTACAGAACAGTCCGTGCGTCTCTACTGAACAGTCCGTGCGTCTCTACAGAACAGTCCGTGCGTCTCTACTGAACAGTCCGTGCGTCTCTACAGAACAGTCCGTGCGTCTCTACAGAACAGTCCGTGCGTCTCTACAGAACAGTCCGTGCGTCTCTACAGAACAGTCCGTGCGTCTCGACTGAACAGTCCGTGCATCTCTACAGAACAGTCCGTGCGTCTCTACAGAACAGTCCGTGCATCTCTACAGAACAGTCCGTGCGTCTCTACTGAACAGTCCGTGCATCTCTACAGAACAGTCCGTGCGTCTCTACAGAACAGTCCGTGCGTCTCTACAGAACAGTCCGTGCGTCTCTACTGAACAGTCCGTGCGTCTCTACTGAACAGTCCGTGCGTCTCTACTGAACAGTCCGTGCGTCTCTACAGAACAGTCCGTGCGTCTCTACTGAACAGTCCGTGCGTCTCTACTGAACAGTCCGTGCGTCTCTACTGAACAGTCCGTGCGTCTCTACTGAACAGTCCGTGCGTCTCTACAGAACAGTCCGTGCGTCTCTACAGAACAGTCCGTGCGTCTCTACTGAACAGTCCGTGCGTCTCTACTGAACAGTCCGTGCGTCTCTACTGAACAGTCCGTGCGTCTCTACAGAACAGTCCGTGCGTCTCTACAGAACAGTCCGTGCGTCTCTACAGAACAGTCCGTGCGTCTCTACAGAACAGTCCGTGCGTCTCTACTGAACAGTCCGTGCGTCTCTACTGAACAGTCCGTGCGTCTCGACTGAACAGTCCGTCCGTGCAGACCGAGCGGTCTGTGCGTTGCGACGGCCGAACGCGCGTCACCGTAGACTTTGCATTGAAACCCGACATGATCCGGTCTGAAAGCCCCATTAGAGACCACAGCTTTAAAGTCTGTACGTCCAAACGAGTGAGAGCACACTGTAAGAACAACACAAGAATTCAACCATAGGATCGTTCACACAAAGGTGATGTTTGACCTTGTTTTCTGTCGTCAAACTGGTGAGACAGATCCCTGTGAGTCACTATTTGACTCTTTGGGCTGAGAGCTGATTGGCCGTGAGAGGGGGGTGCTCTCTCTCACTTTTCTGTCTGAAAAAGATGAAGATGTGACAGAGGCCGAAGAAACTAGTGACAGAAACAACTGTTATATATATACATAGACGTCGGGACTAGGGGCGCGACCTTGTATACGGTCAGAAGCCATGAGTCCCACAGAAAAAAAAATATATATATATATATATTTTCAATGTGTTTCGTCTGTCTTGCATTTATCTTGTTTCTGTGATGGCTTCATACAACTCAATGTGACGTAGGTTAAATTTATAATTAAAAAAATAATAAATAAATAAAATATATATTGTTTCGCGGGCATTGTTGTTGTTTGTTCTCGCGCATCAGCTATTGTTAGCCTTCGTCACATAGACTGTCATAGCAAGATCAACAGATTCAGTTATGGCTCAGAAAAGAATTTCTTCATACTTTTTGAAAGCGGCCGACACCTGGAGCTCAGAGTGTGCCAATGAGTGCGCCGGCAACCGGACAGCAGCTGGCAGCAGCGGAGGATCCTCGTCCTCCCTCCCCAGTGCGACCCGGTGCTAGCCAAGAGGCTATATCTTTTAAACCACCCCAAGGGTATAATTTTCCTGTCAAAAAGTTCAGCGGTGAGAACTTCGGTTGTTCTTGCAAGGCCGCTTGGTTCAGGGAATGGCAGTGGCTGGAGTACATTGCGGCCAGTGATGGCATGGTGTGTGGTGTGTGCAGGTCAGCTGTCAAAGGCAAGTTGATTGTGTCAGAATCCGAAAGTCAGTTTTTGAATGATAACGGATTTTCAAATTGGAGAAAAGCAACGGAAAAGATCAGAGACCATGAAAAGACCCGCATTCATTTAGATGCAACCCAAAGATTGGCTGCATTGAAAAGCACGCCAATAAATGCGCTACTCTCCGAGGCGCTGCTAAGGACCAGAGAACAGCGCGGAAAATGCTGGAGCTCATTTTCAGCAGTGTAAGATTCCTGGGGCGCCAGGGACTGCCTCTGAGAGGAGCTGCCAATCGGGATGGGGTGTTATGGCAGCTAATGATGGAAAGGGTGCGCACTGATCCTGATATGGAGAAGTGGATGCAAAGGAGAGACAACTGGCTGTCCGGCAGCATCCAAAACAAAATTCTGGAGCTCTTTGCGTTTTACATCCAGAGAAACATCGGAGCCAAAGCAGCCAAAGTCCTTTTTTTGGCTTAACTGCGGATGGGACCACTGACTTGAGTGGCAAAGAACAGTTTTCAATCAATGTTCAGTTTTCTGATGACAATCTGGACGTTCAGAATTTCTTTTTGGGATTTTATAACGCCCCGGACACAACCGCAGAGATGCTCTTTTTATGTATAAAAGACGTCCTCGTTCGACTCAACTTGCCTTTGGAGAAGCTGAAAGGCTACTGTTTTGATTGAGCCAGCAACATGTCTGGGAGGTTCACGGGAGTACAGGCAAGATGGAAGGAAACATGTCCTGACTCTGTGTTTGTTCATTGTGCAAATCACTCTCTGGATTTAGTGCTGCAAGAAGTGGCAAAAGAAGTGCGCCTTGTTGCTGATACATTGAACTTTGTTTGAGAAGTCACAGTAACCATAAATGAATCAGCAAAAAGAAACAACCTTTATCAGTCTCTTTTCGGATGTGGAGAAGTGGTTAACCTGCTTTCCCTGTGCCCAACTCGGTGGTGCGTCAGGGTTGCGGCACTGTCGCGGTTGCTGACCTGCTATGGAGAGATGCTGCAGACATTTCAAACCTTGGAGAATGACAGGACTGTCAGGGGGAGACGCGCGCAAAAGTGGCAGGCCTGATCAAAAAGGCCACTACTACGCGCACAGTTTTTGGTTTGTTTGCTTGTGTTTGCTTGTGTTGCCGTGTTTTCCCCATGTGAATCGGTGGCTCGGTCACTACAAGGCACTAAAGTCACTGCCCTTGGATCAATGGAAGCTGCAAAACTTCTTTGCCAGCGATTGAGCACACTGCGACAGGAGGCCACCTTCGTCGATCTTGTGGGCAAGACGAAGCAATATGAAGACCGCTACAATCTACAGTGGCCACCACAGCCAGCGCGCACCAGCAAGACCCCAGTGCGTTTTCGCCATACAACGGAGAAGGAGGATAAAGAGTTGGGAGATAAAGAGGGTAAATAAATAAATCATAATAATGCCAACTGTATTTTGAAACAAAGGAACGTCGCTTACAACATCAGCATGTATTAAAAGGCAACAAATACGCACAGATAGTATGGCCGCCTATGGTTCTAATAACTTGTGGAGATGAAAATATGTAAATAATACTATACTACACAAACATCATAGTACACCTTAGAAATGAGCTTGGAATTAATATGTACACAATTAATAATACACAAACGATGTATATCATGAAAAATTGGAACATGTAAAAGTAAGAAATCAAATTTGAGCACGTTTAAATAGGCAGCTCATATAAAATTGTATTGTTGTTTAAGTGATATTATGTGTAATATTGCAGATTATCCAAGCCTGTGGAAGAGGGAGATGTTTGAGACCTTGGACTTGGTGCGCTCAGAGGTGGAGCGGCGTTCTGATCAGGAGGGGCTCCGCGTAGCTGCAGGGCGAGAGCAGGCCATTCTTGAGGCAGCTCAGGGGAAACAAGTTAATGTGGGTTCCCCGGATCTGACCCCTTTTTCACGAGAGAAACTATGTCTTGAGCTGGACATACTGAAAGACGTGTGCAGGGGGCGAGAAGTTATGACAATTGAAGATGTTGCGTCTATCCTGCGCCCCTTGCAGCCCCAAACCCGCTCCATGCTGTCGGAGGTGGAGAAGCTTTTGAAGCTCTGTCAGGCCCATATCTGTCGCAGCCTCTGAGCGCTCTTTCTCAGCCTTGGGCAGATTGAAGACCTGGCAACGCAACACAATGAAGCAGGAGAGACTGACACATTTGTCCATTATGAATGCGCTTAGTGACCTCTTAGATGAATGCGATGTTTCTTCTCTGCTTGAACAATTCATCAGTCGGTCTACTGAGAGAAGGTCCACTTTTGGAAAAATCTGAAAGTCCTCATATGATTGCAAACTGTTCCATGTCAGTGTCAGTGTTGTGCAATTTACTTTAAATTGTTCCGGTGTTGCAGCTTATAAAAATGACGCAGCCACCTTTTTTGACGCGCTTTATTTTAATTTGGAGCCTTGTGTTTGTCTTTCAGTGCGCACGTGTTTGTTATGCAGCTTTGAAATAAATTATTTCCAGTTTGAAAAGTGCCTTACTTAATTTATATTTTTTCATTATTCTTAACCATTAAGATAATATGTTGTCTACTACATTTCTGTCTCTCCCCGACTCAACTAAAAAAAAAAATCCGCCCCCCCTCTCCGAAAATAGTTCCGACGTCTCTGTATAATATATATATATATATATATATATATATATAATATATATATATATATACTTATAAATATATATACAGTGTATATATATATATATATATACTTATAAATATATACAGTGTATATATATATATATATATATATATATATATATATATATAGTTCTTATGGTGTGAAAGTTACGTACACCAGCTTTAATTATTGCCCTGAATCTTCTCAGTCTGTTTATGATGAGACTCTGGGCGTGAGAGAGACCAGCTGCACCAACCTGCGATCCGGTCTGGGATGTAGACCGGACTGGGGCTGGAGAGGCGGGCTGGCAGGGTCTGGTAAGACTGAGGACTGGGCAGGATCGGACTGTGCAGGACCGGACTGGGCAGGACCGGGCTGTGCAGAGCCGGGCTGTGCAGAGCCGGGGTGCTGGACTTGCTGCCCTCAGGAGCCTGGCCCTTGTCCGTCTGGGTGCAGCTGTCCCGACTCCCGGTCTTGGAGTGTCCCGCGGTCATGGGGGTGGACGGCAGGACCGGGGACGGAGACGACGAGATGGACTCAGCTCTTAGAGAGTCCGGTCTGAACTCTGGACCCAGCAGGACTCCTGTGGACACATGGACTCAGACTCAGCTTTGAAGTGTTAGTGTCGGGACTCGGGTGTCGGGACTCGGGTGTCGGGACTCGGGTCTGGGGACTCGGGTGTCGGGACTCGGGTGTCGGGACTCGGGTGTCGGGACTCGGGTGTCGGGACTCGGGTGTCGGGACTCGGGTCTGGGGACTCGGGTCTGGGGACTCGGGTCTGGGGACTTGGGTCTGGGGACTCGGGTCTGGGGACTCGGGATTCGGGTGTCGGGACTCGGGTGTCGGGACTCGGGTGTCGGGACTTGGGTGTCGGGACTCGGGTCTGGGGACTCGGGTCTCGGGATTCGGGTGTCGGGACTCGGGTGTCGGGACTCGGGTGTCGGGACTCTGGTTTCGGGACTCGGGTCTGGGGACTCGGGTGTCGGGACTCGGGTGTCGGGACTCGGGTCTGGGGACTCGGGTGTCGGGACTCGGGTGTCGGGACTCGGGTGTCGGGACTCGGGTGTCGGGACTCGGGTCTGGGGACTCGGGTGTCGGGACTCGGGATTCGGGACTCGGGATTCGGGACTCGGGTCTGGGGACTCGGGTGTCGGGACTCGGGTGTCGGGACTCGGGGTGTCGGGACTCGGGTGTCGGGACTCGGGTGTGGGGACTCGGGTGTGGGGACTCGGGTCTGGGGACTCGGGTCTGGGGACTCGGGTGTGGGGACTCGGGTCTGGGGACTCGGGTGTCGGATCTCGGGATTCGGGACTCGGGTCTGGGGACTCGGGTGTCGGGACTCGGGTCTGGGGACTCGGGTGTCGGGACTCGGGTGTCGGGACTCGGGTGTCGGGACTCGGGTGTCGGGACTCGGGTGTGGGGACTCGGGTGTGGGGACTCGGGTCTGGGGACTCGGGTCTGGGGACTCGGGTCTGGGGACTCGGGTCTGGGGACTCGGGTCTGGGGACTCGGGTCTGGGGACTCGGGTGTCGGATCTCGGGGGTCATACCCAGGCTGCCCTTCCAGCTGCTGTCCCGGCGCTCCTCGGTGATGGGGGAGCTGCTGAGGCCCAGGCTGTGGCACAGGAGTCCGGACGCGGACCCCGTGTTGGAGATGGACATCAGGGACTTGGAGGGTCTCATGGACGGACCCTCGGACTTCAGCGGGTCTTTCCTGGAGCGCTGGTGCAGTACTTTGATCATGGCGTCCTTCTCAATGATCTGAGCGTGGAGGTTCTTGATTCTGTTCAAAAACACGAGTTAACGAGAGAAGTGCTCAGTTTGAAGTCTGAGAAGTCCTGGTTTTGGTCTAAAGCCGCGTTCAGACCGGATCCTGCTGCGGCGACTCATTGAGCTACAGGTATGAAGCCCATGTCTGTAGTCTCTGGTCTGTCTGTTGCTGGTGTGGTGTAGCGTGACACAGACCTGCTCTCCATGTCCTGGTCTGTCTGTTGCTGGTCTGTCTGTTGCTGGTGTGGTGTAGCGTGACACAGACCTGCTCTCCATGTCCAGGCAGCGGCGGTTGGCCATCAGGATCTCCTCCTCCTCCTTCTGGATCCGCGCCTCCACAGACGTGTCGTAGCTGCTGCTCGGAGAGTGACTGATGACGGATATCGACGTGTCTCTGAAGAAACACAAATACATCAGGTTTCACCAGACTACTATGGACACAACCATCCAGGAGCTCTGAGTAGAGCTGCTGCTCCTCCACGTGGAGAGGAGGTGTTGGAGATGCGTCTTGGACGTCTCCCAGGGGAGGTGTCACCTCTCTCCCCCCTCACCTCTCTCCCCCCCTCACCTCTCTCTCCTCCTCACCTCTCCCCTCTCTCCCCCCCTCACCTCTCTCTCCTCCTCACCACCTCTCCCCTCTCTCCCCCCCCCCTCACCTCTCCCCCCCCCTCCCCTCTCCCCCCCCCTCCTCTCCCCCCCCTCCCCCTCCCCTCCCCCTCACTCTCCTCTCTCCCCCCCTCACCTCTCTCTCCTCCTCACCTCTCCCCTCTCTCTCTCCCCCCCTCACCTCTCTCTCCCCTCACCTCTCCCCCCCTCCCCCCCATCCCCCTCTCTCCCCTCACCTCTCCCCCCCCTCACCCCTCTCACCTCTGTGTGGCCACAGAAGCCGCTGCGTCCAGAGCGAACTGCCTCATGACGCTCTCCTCCAGATACTTCTGCTCCCACTTGGTCATGTCGGCCTCCAGCGCCAGGATCCGCTCCTCCTTCTCCCTCAGGTGCTCCATCAGAGCGTTAGCATTGAACTCTGGAGCAGAACCACTGGTCTGGGACCCGCCCTGACGCTGCAGAGGAGGAGAGAGGACACAAAACATATTAGTGTTAGCAGAGAGAGACCAGAGAGAGACCAGAGAGAGACCAGAGAGAGTCCAGAGAGAGTCCAGAGAGAGTCCAGAGAGAGAGACCAGAGAGAGACCAGAGAGAGACCAGAGAGAGACCAGAGAGAGACCAGAGAGAGTCCAGAGAGAGTCCAGAGAGAGTCCAGAGAGAGACCAGAGAGAGACCAGAGAGAGACCAGAGAGAGACCAGAGAGAGACCAGAGAGAGACCAGAGAGAGACCAGAGAGAGACCCAGAGAGAGACCAGAGAGAGACCAGAGAGAGAACAGAGAGAGACCAGAGAGAGACCAGAGGGAGACCAGAGAGAGACCAGAGAGAGTCCAGAGAGACCAGAGGGAGACCAGAGAGAGTCCAGAGAGAGTCCAGAGAGAGTCCAGAGAGAGTCCAGAGAGAGTCCAGAGAGAGACCAGAGAGAGACCAGAGAGAGTCCAGAGAGAGACCAGAGAGAGACCAGAGGGAGACCAGAGGGAGACCAGAGGGAGACCAGAGGGAGACCAGAGAGAGTCCAGAGAGAGTCCAGAGAGAGACCAGAGGGAGACCAGAGAGACCAGAGAGAGTCCAGAGAGAGTCTAGAGAGACCAGAGGGAGACCAGAGGGAGACCAGAGAGAGTCCAGAGAGAGTCCAGAGAGAGTCCAGAGAGAGTCCAGAGAGAGTCCAGAGAGAGACCAGAGAGAGACCAGAGAGAGACCAGAGAGAGACCAGAGGGAGACCAGAGGGAGACCAGAGGGAGACCAGAGGGAGACCAGAGAGAGTCCAGAGAGAGTCCAGAGGGAGACCAGAGGGAGACCAGAGGGAGACCAGAGAGAGACCAGAAAGAGACCAGAGAGAGAGCAGAGGGAGACCAGAGGGAGACCAGAGAGAGACCAGAGGGAGACCAGAGAGAGTCCAGAGAAAGAAAAAATAAGCACAACCCTGAGGTGTACTAGGTGTGGTGATACCAGGTGTGGTGATACCATATGTGATGGTACCAAGTGTGTGGTACTAGGTGTGATGGTACCAGGTGTGTGGTACCAGATGTAATGGTACCAGGTCTGTGGTACTAGGTGTAATGGTACCAGGTGTGTGGTACCAGGTGTGGTGGTACCAGGTGTGTGGTACCAGGTGTGGTGGTACCAGGTGTGTGGTACCAGGTGTGTGGTACCAGGTGTGGTGGTACCAGGTGTGTGGTACCAGGTGTGTGGTGTACCAGGTGTGTGGTACCAGGTGTGGTGGTACCAGGTGTGTGGTACCAGGTGTGTGGTACCAGGTGTGTGGTACCTGTTGCATGCGCAGAGCCTCCAGCTCTCGCTCTAGTCTGGTCCTCAGTCGATGCTCGAGCTGCTCTCGTTTCTCGCAGGCCGCCTGCAGCTGAGACAGAGCCTGCTGCATCCGCTCCACCTTCTCCACATACACCTGCTTCTTCTTCAGCTGAGGACCATCAAGGGACCATCAAGGGACCATCAAGGGACCAGCAGAAGGACCAGAGAGGGACCGTCAGAGGGACCATCAAGGGACCAGCAGAGGGACCAGAGAGAGACCATCAGAGGACCAGCAGAGGGACCAGAGAGGGACCAGCAGAGGGACCAGAGAGGGACCATCAGAGGGACCAGCAGAGGGACCAGCAGAGGGACCAGCAGAGGGACCATCAGAGGGACCAGCAGAGGGACCAGAGAGGGACCATCAGAGGGACCAGCAGAGGGACCAGAGAGGGACCAGAGAGAGACCATCAGAGGGACCAGACCAGAGGGACCAGTCAGAGGGACCAGAGAGGGACCATCAAGGGACCAGCAGAGGGACCAGAGAGGGACCATCAGAGGACCAGCAGAGGGACCAGCAGAATGACCATCAGAGGACCAGCAGAGGGACCAGCAGAGGGACCATCAGAGGGACCAGAGAGGGACCATCAGAGGACCAGCAGAGGGACCATCAGATGACCAGCAGAGGGACCAGTAGAGGGACCAGAGAGAGACCAGAGGGACCAGAGAGAGACCATCAGGGAGGGACCAGAGAGAGACCAGACTTAACCAGAGACGTAGATCTATCCATGTTCTTAAACGTGTTTCACCTCCTCCTCCAACTTGACGACTTTGGCCTGAGCGTTGTTCAGAGCCTGGTCTCGGATCTCGATGTGTCGTCGCTGGTCCTCGGTCTGAGACCGGAGTGAGTTCAGGTCCATCTCCAGCTTCTCCTTCTCCCTGAGCGTCTCTTTATCTGAACAGGAGCAGAACCGTTAACGTCTGCAGCTCAGAGACTGTAGCCCCCTGGTGGCCACAGAGGGAGCTACAGTCTCTGCTCCTTCCCTGGTGGCCGGGACCACTGGTCTCTCTCTCTGGTCTCTCTCTCTGGTCTCTCTCTCTGGTCTCTCTCTCTGGTCTCTCTCTCTGGTCTCTGGTCCTGGCTGTGCTGCAATGTGAAAAAACACATCTGTGCATGCGTCAGCCAGAGAGAGCTCCATTCATTTGAACGAGTGCCTTCTAAAGTCCACAGTGACTAAACTAGACTGGTCCAGAACACTCAGCATTGACACACATGTGGAACGGAGCTTTGGGCCAAGAGACACTGGACCATCCTGTAAAGACGTTTTCCAGAGGTAAGAAGATGCTATATGTTAGCATTGGCTAATTCTACTTCTGGGTCCACCCCCACAGGCCCGGGGTGGTACTGCAGCATGTCCCCCACTGGGCTGGACTCACTCTGACAGAGGAGTTGGGAGATGGTCTTTCGATTGTCCTCAGACCCTTCACACTCTTTGGCTGCCAGCTGCTTGTTTGCCGTCTCCATCCGCTCTGCAGACACAAACACAAAAACTAAACACACCAGTCGCAGGGTGATGTCACATGATCTCACACGGTGTCACGTGATGTCACATGATGTCACATGACCCACAGACCTCGTAAGTCGCGGTTGAAGTCGTGGAGCCGCCGCACTTCCAGCTCCAGTTTGTTCCTCATGGTTTTCTCCAGACTTTCTCGTTTGGACGACGATTTGGCCAAGTTCTCGTAAACTTCCGACGCCAACTGGATCTCTGTCTCCAGCTGAAATCACCACAGACCAGCGTCACACACCAGAAGAGACCAGAGAGACCAGCGTCACACACCAGAAGAGACCAGAGGAGACCAGCGTCACACACCAGAAGAGACCAGAGGAGACCAGCGTCACACACCAGAAGAGACCAGAGGAGACCAGCGTCACACACCAGAAGAGACCAGAGGAGACCAGCGTCACACACCAGAAGAGACCAGAGGAGACCAGCGTCACACACCAGAAGAGACCAGCGTCACACACCAGAAGAGACCAGAGGAGACCAGCGTCACACACCAGAAGAGACCAGCGTCACACACCAGAAGAGACCAGAGGAGACCAGCGTCACACACCAGAAGAGACCAGAGGAGACCAGCGTCACACACCAGAAGAGACCAGAGGAGACCAGCGTCACACACCAGAAGAGACCAGAGGAGACCAGCGTCACACACCAGAAGAGACCAGAGGAGACCAGCGTCACACACCAGAAGAGACCAGCGTCACACACCAGAAGAGACCAGAGGAGACCAGCGTCACACACCAGAAGAGACCAGAGGAGACCAGCGTCACACACCAGAAGAAACCAGAGGAGACCAGCGTCACACACCAGAAGAGACCAGAGGAGACCAGCGTCACACACCAGAAGAGACCAGCGTCACACACCAGAAGAGACCAGAGGAGACCAGCGTCACACACCAGAAGAGACCAGAGGAGACCAGCGTCACACACCAGAAGAGACCAGAGGAGACCAGCGTCACACACCAGAAGAGACCAGAGGAGACCAGCGTCACACACCAGAAGAGACCAGAGGAGACCAGCGTCACACACCAGAAGAGACCAGAGGAGACCAGCGTCACACACCAGAAGAGACCAGAGGAGACCAGCGTCACACACCAGAAGAGACCAGAGGAGACCAGCGTCACACACCAGAAGAGACCAGAGGAGACCAGCGTCACACACCAGAAGAGACCAGAGGAGACCAGCGTCACACACCAGAAGAGACCAGAGGAGACCAGCGTCACACACCAGAAGAGACCAGAGGAGACCAGCGTCACACACCAGAAGAGACCAGAGGAGACCAGCGTCACACACCAGAAGAGACCAGAGGAGACCAGCGTCACACACCAGAAGAGACCAGAGGAGACCAGCGTCACACACCAGAAGAGACCAGAGGAGACCAGCGTCACACACCAGAAGAGACCAGAGGAGACCAGCGTCACACACCAGAAGAGACCAGAGGAGACCAGCGTCACACACCAGAAGAGACCAGAGGAGACCAGCGTCACACACCAGAGGAGACCAGCGTCACACACCAGAAGAGACCAGAGGAGACCAGCGTCACACACCAGAAGAGACCAGAGGAGACCAGCGTCACACACCAGAAGAGACCAGAGGAGACCAGCGTCACACACCAGAAGAGACCAGAGGAGACCAGCGTCACACACCAGAAGAGACCAGCGTCACACACCAGAAGAGACCAGAGGAGACCAGCGTCACACACCAGAAGAGACCAGAGGAGACCAGCGTCACACACCAGAAGAGACCAGAGGAAACCAGGGTCACACACCAGAAGAGACCAGAGGAAACCAGGGTCACACACCAGAAGAGACCAGAGGAGACCAGCGTCACACACCAGAAGAGACCAGAGGAGACCAGCGTCACACACCAGAAGAGACCAGAGGAGACCAGCGTCACACACCAGAAGAGACCAGAGGAGACCAGCGTCACACACCAGAAGAGACCAGAGGAGACCAGCGTCACACACCAGAAGAGACCAGAGGAGACCAGCGTCACACACCAGAAGAGACCAGAGGAGACCAGCGTCACACACCAGAAGAGACCAGAGGAGACCAGCGTCACACACCAGAAGAGACCAGAGGAGACCAGCGTCACACACCAGAAGAGACCAGAGGAGACCAGCGTCACACACCAGAAGAGACCAGAGGACACCAGCGTCACACACCAGACGAGACCAGAGGAGACCAGCGTCACACACCAGAAGAGACCAGCGTCACACACCAGAAGAGACCAGCGTCACACACCAGAAGAGACCAGAGGAGACCAGCGTCACACACCAGAAGAGACCAGAGGAGACCAGCGTCACACACCAGAAGAGACCAGAGGAGACCAGCGTCACACACCAGAAGAGACCAGAGGAGACCAGCGTCACACATCAGAAGAGACCAGAGGAGACCAGCGTCACACACCAGAAGAGACCAGAGGAGACCAGCGTCACACACCAGAAGAGACCAGAGGAGACCAGCGTCACACACCAGAAGAGACCAGAGGAGACCAGCGTCACACACCAGAAGAGACCAGAGGAGACCAGCGTCACACACCAGAAGAGACCAGAGGAGACCAGCGTCACACACCAGAAGAGACCAGCGTCACACACCAGAAGAGACCAGCGTCACACACCAGAAGAGACCAGAGGAGACCAGCGTCACACACCAGAAGAGACCAGAGGAGACCAGCGTCACACACCAGAAGAGACCAGAGGAGACCAGCGTCACACACCAGAAGAGACCAGCGTCACACACCAGAAGAGACCAGAGGAAACCAGGGTCACACACCAGAAGAGACCAGAGAAGACCAGGGTCACACACCAGAAGAGACCAGAGGAGACCTGCGTCACACACCAGAAGAGACCAGCGTCACACACCAGAAGAGACCAGAGGAGACCAGGGTCACACACCAGAAGAGACTAGAGGAGACCAGGGTCACACACCAGAAGAGAGTGGTACCATGTGCAGTTGGTATCATGTGCAGTTGGTACCATGTGCAGTTGGTACCATGTGCAGTTGGTACCGTGTGTGGTTGGTACCGTGTGTGGTTGGTACAGTGTGTGGTCGGTACCATGTGTGGTTGTACCATGTGTGGTCGGTACCATGTGTGGTTGGTACCATGTGCGGTTGGTACCATGTGCGGTTGGTACCATGTGCGGTTGGTACCATGTGCGCTTGGTAACATGTGCGGTTGGTAACATGTGCGGTTGGTAACATGTGCGGTTGGTACCATGTGCGGTTGGTATCATGTGCGGTTGGTACCATGTGCGGTTGGTAACATGTGTAGGTCGGTACCATGTGTGGTTGTACCATGTGTGGTCAGTACCATGTGTGGCCCGTACCTTGTGTAGTTTGGCCACCTTGTCGCGGCACACCTCCATCTCCTGCCGCAGCTGCCGGTTCTCCTCCGTCAGGACGTCCACCATGTGCTGAGCGCGGGACATGATGAGGTAGGGCTCCCCCTGGTGCGGGTGAGGGAAGGCACCATGTGGAGCGCCCTGGTGCGGGGGGCCGTGGTGGTGAGGGGGGGGCTGATGGTGCATTCTGGAAGCACAGTGTGAGATGTGTGTTTGTCAACCAGAGGACAGCAGTGGGAAAGGTCGCCATGTTGTTTAGACCCGTGTTGGGTTTGCACCATGGGAAAAACAGGAACAAGTTAAATTAAAAATACAACTTCAGACTTTCAAAATAAGTCACAGAAGTGCACCAAGGACCAGAGCGAGATCAGAGAGAGACCAGAGCGAGACCAGAGCGAGACCAGAGAGAGACCAGAGACCAGAGAGAGACCAGAGAGAGACCAGAGAGAGACCAGAAAGACGCCAGAGAGAGACCAGAGAGAGACCAGAGAGAGACCAGAGACCAGAGAGAGACCAGAGAGACGCCAGAGAGAGAGACCAGAGAGAGACCAGAGAGAGACCAGAGAGAGACCAGAGAGAGACCAGAGAGAGACCAGAGAGAGACGCCAGAGAGAGAGACCAGAGAGAGACCAGAGAGAGACCAGAGAGACGCCAGAGAGAGACCAGAGAGACGCCAGAGAGAGAGACCAGAGACCAGAGAGAGAGACCAGAGAGAGACCAGAGAGAGAGACCAGAGAGACGCCAGAGAGAGAGACCAGAGAGAGACCAAAGAGAGAGACCAGAGAGAGAGACCAAAGAGAGACCAAAGAGAGACCAGAGAGAGGCCAGAGATAGACCAGAGATAGACCAGAGAGAGACCAAAGAGAGACCAGAGACCAAAGAGAGACCAGAGACCAGAGAGACGCCAGAGAGAGAGACCAGAGAGAGAGACCAGAGAGAGACCAGAGAGAGAGACCAAAGAGAGACCAGAGAGAGAGACCAAAGAGAGACCAAAGAGAGACCAGAGAGAGGCCAGAGAGAGAGAGACCAGAGAGAGACCAGAGAGAGGCCAGAGAGAGACCAGAGAGAGAGCAGAGGGAGACCAGAGACCAGAGAGAGGCCAGAGAGAGAGACCAGAGAGACCAGAGAGAGACCAGAGAGAGACCAGAGAGAGACCAGAGAGAGACCAGAGAGAGACCAGAGAGGACCAGAGAGACACCAGAGAGACACCAGAGAGAGACCAGAGAGAGACCAGAGAGAGGCCAGAGAGAGGCCAGAGAGACCAGAGAGAGACCAGAGAGAGACCAGAGAGACCAGAGAGAGACCAGAGAGACCAGAGAGAGACCAGAGAGAGAGACCAGAGAGAGACCAGAGAGAGACCAGAGAGAGACTAGAGGGAGACCAGAGGGAGACCAGAGGGAGACCAGAGAGAGACCAGAGGGAGACCAGAGAGAGACCAGAGAGAGACCAGAGAGAGACCAGAGAGAGACCAGAGAGAGACCAGAGGGAGACCAGAGAGAGACCAGAGGGAGACCAGAGAGAGACCAGAGGGAGACCAGAGAGAGACCAGAGGGAGACCAGAGAGAGACCAGAGGGAGACCAGAGAGAGACCAGAGGGAGACCAGAGAGAGACCAGAGGGAGACCAGAGAGAGACCAAAGAGAGTAAAAACCAAGGGAAACCTGGTCTGACACTGGTCCCGATGGTTACCTGGGCGTGGAGCCGTAGTGGTCGTGGGGGTAGCCTCGGTGCTGCTGGTGCTGATTGGGGATGGGGCCGTAGGCTTCAGGCTGCAGCCGCGGTGGGGGGGGGTACCCATGGTCCTGCTGCTGAGGGGGGTGTCCGGGGTGAGGGGGGAAGGACGGGTGAGAGGAGCTGAGCAGAGAGGACAGCGCAGAGGCCTGAGCGCGGGACAAGGACCCCAGGGACGTGACGGAGGAGGTGGGACTGTGGTGGAGCTGGGGCCGGTGGGACTCCTTCACAGACCTGTGGAACCAGACCAGTCAGACCTCAGGTGGAAGGACCTCAGACCAGTCAGACCTCAGGTGGAAGGACCTCAGACCAGTCAGACCTCAGGTGGAAGGACCTCAGACCAGTCAGACTTCAGACCAGTCAGACCTCAGACCAGTCAGACCAGTCGACTTCAAGAACCAGACCTCAGACAGTCAGACCTCAGACAGAAGGACCTCTGACCAGTCAGACTTCAGACCATGTGGAAGGAACCTCAGACCAGTCAGACCTCAGGTGGAAGGACCTCCAGACCTCAGACCAGACCTCAGACCTCAGACCAGTCAGACCTCAGACCAGTCAGACCTCAGACCAGACAGACCTCAGGTGGAAGGACCTCAGACCAGTCAGACTTCAGACCAGTCAGACCTCAGACCAGTCAGACCTCAGACCAGTCAGACCTCAGACCAGTCAGACCTCAGACCAGTCAGACCTCAGACCAGTCAGATCTCAGACCAGTCAGACCTCAGACCAGACAGACTTCAGACCAGTCAGACTTCAGACCAGTCAGACCTCAGACCAGTCAGACTTCAGACCAGTCAGACCTCAGACCAGTCAGACCTCAGGTGGAAGGACCTCAGACCAGTCAGACTTCAGGTGGAAGGACCTCAGACCAGTCAGACTTCAGACCAGTCAGACCTCAGGTGGAAGGACCTCAGACCAGTCAGACTTCAGACCTCAGGTGGAAGGACCTCAGACCAGTCAGACTTCAGACCAGTCAGACCTCAGACCAGTCAGACTTCAGACCAGTCAGACCTCAGACCAGTCAGACCTCAGACCAGTCAGACCTCAGACCAGTCAGACCTCAGACCAGTCAGACTTCAGACCAGTCAAACCTCAGACCAGTCAGACCTCAGGTGGAAGGACCTCAGACCAGTCAGACTTCAGACCAGTCAGACCTCAGACCAGTCAGACCTCAGACCAGTCAGACCTCAGGTGGAAGGACCTCAGACCAGTCAGACTTCAGACCAGTCAGACCTCAGACCAGTCAGACCTCAGACCAGTCAGACCTCAGACCAGTCAGACCTCAGACCAGTCAGACCTCAGACCAGTCAGATCTCAGACCAGTCAGACCTCAGACCAGACAGACTTCAGACCAGTCAGACTTCAGACCAGTCAGACCTCAGACCAGTCAGACCAGTCAGACTTCAGACCAGTCAGACCTCAGACCAGTCAGACCTCAGGTGGAAGGACCTCAGACCAGTCAGACTTCAGACCAGTCAGACCTCAGGTGGAAGGACCTCAGACCAGTCAGACTTCAGACCAGTCAGACCTCAGACCAGTCAGACCTCAGACCAGTCAGACCTCAGACCAGTCAGACCTCAGACCAGTCAGACTTCAGACCAGTCAAACCTCAGACCAGTCAGACCTCAGGTGGAAGGACCTCAGACCAGTCAGACTTCAGACCAGTCAGACCTCAGACCAGTCAGACCTCAGACCAGTCAGACCTCAGGTGGAAGGACCTCAGACCAGTCAGACTTCAGACCAGTCAGACCTCAGACCAGTCAGACCTCAGACCAGTCAGACCTCAGACCAGTCAGACCTCAGACCAGTCAGACCTCAGACCAGTCAGACCTCAGACCAGTCAGACCTCAGACCAGACAGACTTCAGACCAGTCAGACTTCAGACCAGTCAGACTTCAGACCAGTCAGACCTCAGACCAGTCAGACCAGTCAGACCTCAGACCAGTCAGACCTCAGACCAGTCAGACCAGTCAGACCTCAGACCAGTCAGACCTCAGACCAGTCAGACCTCAGACCAGTCAGACCTCAGACCAGTCAGACCTCAGACCAGTCAGACCTCAGACCAGTCAGACTTCAGACCAGTCAGACCAGTGTAGATTCACCGCCAGCAGAAATCTAACTTATTTTATTTATTTATTTGATACGGACACAACAGTTCCATTGGACACACCAGATGCACAACCCCCGAGGTTTCTCACGTTTTCCCACTGGGTTTTTTAAGAGTTTTTCCTTGTCGATGCAGGAGGGTCTTGTTGGACAGTTAGTGTCCAACAGAAAGGATTGGTGATGATCAGGACACTTTAGCATTCTACAACATGTATGGACATTTTCTTCTGTGTGTGCTTTATATTCTTCATGTGTTTTAACTGTTGACCTCTGACCTGTGTTGGTGATTTCAATGGTTTTGTTAAGTCTCTGAGATGACTTCTGTTGTGACCTAGGGCTGTGACCTAGGGCTGTGACCTAGCACAGGGACTGGACTCCTGCTGGGACTCTGACAATGTTTAAAACCAGGTTAAAAACGGTGCTGTTTAGCTGTGCTACAACTGAGGGATTTTATATTTTTATCTTTCGTTTTAATGTTCTGTAATTATTTATGATTTTAATGCTTTCTTGTTCAGCACTTTGAATTGCCTTGTGTATGAATTGTGCTATACAAATAAACTTGCCTTGCCTTGCCTTGCCTATACAAGAATACATTGTATTGTATTGTATCGTATTTACTCTCATAGTGAGACCAGGATCATTTTCAACACTTAAGAGGCTTTTAGGACATAAAAGTAAAACTATATTATTCAAATGTACGTCATGAAACATGTGATTCATGCGACATGTGCAGCTGCAGCTTTGTGGTCACGTGGTCAGTGAGGGATCTCTTTGTGGTCACATGGTCAGTGAGGGATCTCTTTGTGGTCACATGATCAGTGAGGGATCCCTTTGTGGTCACATGATCAGTGAGGGATCCCTTTGTGGTCACGTGATCAGTGAGGGATCCCTTTGTGGTCACATGATCAGTGAAGGATCTCTTTGTGGTCACATGATCAGTGAGGGATCCCTTTGTGGTCACATGATCAGTGAGGGATCTCTTTGTGGTCACGTGATCAGTGAGGGATCCCTTTGTGGTCACACGATCAGTGAGGGATCTCTTTGTGGTCACATGATCAGTGAGGGATCTCTTTGTGGTCATATGATCAGTGAGGGATCCCTTTGTGGTCACATGGTCAGTGAGGGATCCCTTTGTGGTCACATGGTCAGTGAGGGATCCCTTTGTGGTCACATGGTCAGTGAGGGATCCCTTTGTGGTCACATGGTCAGTGAGGGATCCCTTTGTGGTCACATGATCAGTGAGGGATCCCTTTGTGGTCACGTGATCAGTGAGGGATCCCTTTGTGGTCATATTATCAGTGAGAGATCCCTTTGTGGTCACATGGTCAGTGAGGGATCCCTTTGTGGTCACATGGTCAGTGAGGGATCCCTTTGTGGTCACATGATCAGTGAGGGATCTCTTTGTGGTCACATGGTCAGTGAGGGATCTCTTTGTGGTCACATGATCAGTGAGGGATCTCTTTGTGGTCACATGATCAGTGTGGGATCTCTTTGTGGTCACATGGTCAGTGAGGGATCCCTTTGTGGTCACATGGTCAGTGAGGGATCCCTTTGTGGTCACATGATCAGTGAGGGATCTCTTTGTGGTCACGTGATCAGTGAGGGATCTCTTTGTGGTCACATGATCAGTGAGGGATCCCTTTGTGGTCACATGATCAGTGAGGGATCCCTTTGTGGTCACATGATCAGTGAGGGATCTCTTTGTGGTCACATGATCAGTGAGGGATCTCTTTGTGGTCACATGATCAGTGAGGGATCTCTTTGTGGTCACATGGTTGTCTGTTGAACACTAGACCTGGTCAGTGTCACTGAAGGGTGCTACACACCGTCAGTATTTTAAACACACTCGACCAATGTTCACAAGAAATAATCAAATGGATGAACATGAAAGTCTGGGGTCCCACAGGGGTCTATTCTTGGACCTTTGCTTTTTACAGGTGAAACTTGGGAAATTCAAATATTACTCAAAAAGTCAATTTACTCCTAAAATTCAGCTGACAATGTAACACTAATAAACACAACAGTTTGGTTAGCGATTGTGCTTCTCAGCAAGAAGGTCGTGGGTTTGATTCCAGCTCCAAACAGGGCCTTTCTGTGTGGAGTTTGCATGTTCTCCCAGTGTCTGCTCTGGTTCCCTCCAGGTGCTCCAGTTTCCCCTGGTCGACGGAGTAAACCAATGGTGATCGGAACTTGTCACTTTATTTTTTCCCAGTGTCACACCCCCCTGTTCTGGTTCAGACCCACCTGCTCTGGGTCAGACCCACCTGCTCTGGGTCAGACCCACCTGCTCTGGTTCAGATCCACCTGCTCTGGGTCAGACCCTCCTGTTCTGGTTCAGACCCACCTGTTCTGGTTCAGACCCACCTGCTCTGGTTCAGATCCACCTGCTCTGGGTCAGACCCACCTGCTCTGGTTCAGACCCCCCTGCTCTGGTTCAGATCCACCTGCTCTGGTTCAGATCCACCTGCTCTGGTTCAGATCCTCCTGCTCTGGTTCAGACCCACCTGCTCTGGTTCAGACCCACCTGCTCTGGTTCAGACCCACCTGGTCTGGTTCAGACCCACCTGCTCTGGGTCAGACCCTCCTGCTCTGGTTCAGACCCACCTGCTCTGGTTCAGACCCACCTGCTCTGGGTCAGACCCCCCTGCTCTGGTTCAGATCCACCTGCTCTGGTTCAGACCCCCCTGCTCTGGGTCAGACCCCCCTGCTCTGGTTCAGATCCTCCTGCTCTGGTTCAGACCCACCTGCTCTGGGTCAGACCCCCCTGCTCTGGTTCAGATCCACCTGCTCTGGTTCAGACCCACCTGCTCTGGTTCAGACCCACCTGCTCTGGTTCAGACCCACCTGCTCTGGGTCAGACCCCCCTGCTCTGGTTCAGATCCTCCTGCTCTGGTTCAGACCCACCTGCTCTGGGTCAGACCCCCCTGCTCTGGTTCAGATCCACCTGGTCTGGGTCAGACCCCCCTGCTCTGGTTCAGATCCACCTGCTCTGGTTCAGACCCCCCTGCTCTGGGTCAGACCCCCCTGCTCTGGGTCAGACCCCCCTGTTCTGGTTCAGACCCACCTGCTCTGGTTCAGACCCACCTGCTCTGGTTCAGATCCACCTGTTCTGGGTCAGATCCTCCTGCTCTGGTTCAGACCCCCCTGCTCTGGTTCAGATCCACCTGCTCTGGTTCAGACCCCCCTGCTCTGGGTCAGACCCCCCTGCTCTGGGTCAGACCCCCCTGTTCTGGTTCAGACCCTCCTGTTCTGGTTCAGATCCACCTGCTCTGGTTCAGACCCTCCTGGTCTGGTTCAGACCCCCCTGCTCTGGTTCAGACCCCCCTGCTCTGGTTCAGATCCACCTGCTCTGGTTCAGATCCACCTGCTCTGGTTCAGACCCTCCTGCTCTGGTTCAGATCCACCTGGTCTGGTTCAGATCCACCTGCTCTGGTTCAGATCCACCTGGTCTGGTTCAGATCCACCTGGTCTGGTTCAGATCCACCTGCTCTGGTTCAGATCCACCTGGTCTGGTTCAGATCCACCTGGTCTGGTTCAGATCCACCTGGTCTGGTTCAGATCCACCTGGTCTGGTTCAGATCCACCTGGTCTGGTTCAGATCCACCTGGTCTGGTTCAGATCCACCTGGTCTGGTTCAGATCCACCTGGTCTGGTTCAGATCCACCTGGTCTGGTTCAGATCCACCTGGTCTGGTTCAGATCCACCTGCTCTGGTTCAGATCCACCTGGTCTGGTTCAGATCCACCTGGTCTGGTTCAGATCCACCTGCTCTGGTTCAGATCCACCTGGTCTGGTTCAGATCCACCTGGTCTGGTTCAGATCCACCTGCTCTGGTTCAGACCCACCTGCTCTGGTTCAGATCCACCTGGTCTGGTTCAGATCCACCTGGTCTGGTTCAGATCCACCTGGTCTGGTTCAGATCCACCTGCTCTGGTTCAGATCCACCTGGTCTGGTTCAGATCCACCTGGTCTGGTTCAGATCCACCTGCTCTGGTTCAGATCCACCTGGTCTGGTTCAGATCCACCTGGTCTGGTTCAGATCCACCTGGTCTGGTTCAGATCCACCTGGTCTGGTTCAGATCCACCTGCTCTGGTTCAGATCCACCTGCTCTGGTTCAGACCCACCTGCTCTGGTTCAGATCCACCTGCTCTGGTTCAGATCCACCTGCAGTTTCCTTAAATCACGTCGTGGGAAAAACATCAGACATTCCAGCGACGAGTCCAGACGAGTCTTGATCAGTTCAGGATCCAGGTCTGAAACCGGACCGACCAGATCCGGACCCACGCGTCACCGAACAGTGCCACAAAAACAAACTAATCACATTGTTCCACATCCAGAGACTACAAGCCACGCTAGCTCAATGAAGCCCAATGGGGAAGTGCTCAATGACAGAGTTTTGCCTTCTCTGGCTACTATTGACTTCTATGTCAAAGTAAACTCCTCTGGCTCCTCAGAGTCCCAGCAGGAGACCAGTCCCTGTGCTCCTCAGAGTCCCAGCAGGAGACCAGTCCCTGTGCTCCTCAGAGTCCCAGCAGGAGGCCAGTCCCTGTGCTCCTCAGAGTCCCAGCAGGAGACCAGTCCCTGTGCTCCTCAGAGTCCCAGCAGGAGACCAGTCCCTGTGCTCCTCAGAGTCCCAGCAGGAGGCCAGTCCCTGTGCTCCTCAGAGTCCCAGCAGGAGGCCAGTCCCTGTGCTCCTCAGAGTCTCATGTTACTAACGCAATAGAGGACGTCATTTTCTTAAAAATTATGAGTGTGACATTAGAGCAGTTTACTTTTGAGCATTGTCCATCTGTATACAGTCTGTGTTAGCATGTAGCATCTGTATACAGTCTGTGTTAGCATGTAGCATCTGTATACAGTCTGTGTTAGCATGTAGCATCTGTATACAGTCTGTGTTAGCATGTAGCATCTGTATACAGTCTGTGTTAGCATTAGCATCTGTATACAGTCTGTGTTAGCATGTAGCATCTGTATACAGTCTGTGTTAGCATGTAGCATCTGTATACAGTCTGTGTTAGCATGTAGCATCTGTATACAGTCTGTGTTAGCATGTAGCATCTGTATACAGTCTGTGTTAGCATGTAGCATCTGTATACAGTCTGTGTTAGCATGTAGCATCTGTATACAGTCTGTGTTAGCATGTAGCATCTGTATACAGTCTGTGTTAGCATGTAGCATCTGTATACAGTCTGTGTTAGCATGTAGCATCTGTATACAGTCTGTGTTAGCATTAGCATCTGTATACAGTCTGTGTTAGCATGTAGCATCTGTATACAGTCTGTGTTAGCATTAGCATCTGTATACAGTCTGTGTTAGCATGTAGCATCTGTATACAGTCTGTGTTAGCATGTAGCATCTGTATACAGTCTGTGTTAGCATGTAGCATCTGTATACAGTCTGTGTTAGCATGTAGCATCTGTATACAGTCTGTGTTAGCATGTAGCATCTGTATACAGTCTGTGTTAGCATGTAGCATCTGTATACAGTCTGTGTTAGCATTAGCATCTGTATACAGTCTGTGTTAGCATGTAGCATCTGTATACAGTCTGTGTTAGCATTAGCATCTGTATACAGTCTGTGTTAGCATGTAGCATCTGTATACAGTCTGTGTTAGCATGTAGCATCTGTATACAGTCTGTGTTAGCATGTAGCATCTGTATACAGTCTGTGTTAGCATGTAGCATCTGTATACAGTCTGTGTTAGCATGTAGCATCTGTATACAGTCTGTGTTAGCATGTAGCATCTGTATACAGTCTGTGTTAGCATGTAGCATCTGTATACAGTCTGTGTTAGCATGTAGCATCTGTATACAGTCTGTGTTAGCATGTAGCATCTGTATACAGTCTGTGTTAGCATGTAGCATCTGTATACAGTCTGTGTTAGCATGTAGCATCTGTATACAGTCTGTGTTAGCATGTAGCATCTGTATACAGTCTCATTATTAGACTTGATCTTGTTGTTGTTGAATTATGTTTCCAGGAAAATAAGAACAAACTGATCTGAGCCTTATTGACCTAAAAACTACTATTATTAAGTTTATTTATACATTTCACAGACCAAGGTCACACACAGTAAGAGACCAGAGAGAGACCAGAGAGAGACCAGAGAGAGACCAGAGAGAGACCAGAGAGAGACCAGAGAGAGACCAGAGAGAGACCAGAGAGAGGCCAGAGAGAGACCAGAGAGAGAGACCAGAGAGAGAGACCAGAGAGAGACCACAGACCAGAGAGAGGCCAGTAAGAGAGAGACCAGAGAGAGATCAGTAAGAGAGAGACCAGAGAGAGATCAGTAAGAGAGAGACCAGAGAGAGATCAGTAAGAGAGAGGCCAGAGAGAGATCAGTAAGAGAGAGACCAGAGAGAGACCAAAGAGAGAGACCAGAGACCAGAGAGAGAGACCAGAGAGAGAGACCAGAGAGAGAGACCAGAGAGAGACCAGAGAGAGAGACCAGAGAGAGACCAGAGAGAGACCAGAGAGAGAGACCAGAGACCAGAGAGAGAGACCAGAGAGAGAGACCAGAGAGAGACCAGAGAGAGAGACCAGAGAGAGACCAGAGAGAGACCAGAGAGAGAGACCAGAGAGAGAGACCAGAGAGAGACCAGAGAGAGAGATCAGAGAGAGACCAGAGAGAGATCAGTAAGAGAGAGACCAGAGAGAGATCAGTAAGAGAGAGACCAGAGAGAGATCAGTAAGAGAGAGGCCAGAGAGAGATCAGTAAGAGAGAGACCAGAGAGAGATCAGTAAGAGAGAGATCAGTAAGAGAGAGATCAGAGAGAGATCAGTAAGAGAGAGACCAGAGAGAGATCAGAGAGAGACCAGAGAGAGATCAGAGAGAGATCAGTAAGAGAGAGACCAGAGAGAGATCAGTAAGAGAGAGACCAGAGAGAGCAGAGAGAGATCAGTAAGAGAGAGAGCAGAGAGAGATCAGTAAGAGAGAGACCAGAGAGAGATCAGTAAGAGAGAGAGCAGATAGAGATCAGTAAGAGAGAGACCAGAGAGAGATCAGTAAGAGAGAGAGCAGAGAGAGATCAGTAAGAGAGAGACCAGAGAGAGATCAGTAAGAGAGAGACCAGAGAGAGATCAGTAAGAGAGAGACCAGAGAGAGATCAGTAAGAGAGAGAGCAGAGAGAGATCAGTAAGAGAGAGACCAGAGAGAGATCAGTAAGAGAGAGACCAGAGAGAGATCAGTAAGAGAGAGACCAGAGAGAGATCAGTAAGAGAGAGACCAGAGAGAGATCAGTAAGAGAGAGACCAGAGAGAGATCAGTAAGAGAGAGACCAGAGAGAGATCAGTAAGAGAGAGACCAGAGAGAGATCAGTAAGAGAGAGACCAGAGAGAGATCAGTAAGAGAGAGACCAGTAAGAGAGAGGCCAGAGAGAGATCAGTAAGAGAGAGATCAGTAAGAGAGAGACCAGAGAGAGATCAGTAAGAGAGAGACCAGAGAGAGAGAGACCAGAGAGAGATCAGTAAGAGAGAGACCAGAGAGAGAGACCAGAGAGAGAGACCAGAGAGAGAGACCAGAGAGAGACCAGAGAGAGAGACCAGAGAGAGAGACCAGAGAGAGAGACCAGAGAGAGACCAGAGAGAGATCAGTAAGAGAGAGACCAGAGAGAGAGACCAGAGAGAGACCAGAGAGAGATCAGTAAGAGAGAGACCAGAGAGAGAGACCAGAGAGAGACCAGAGAGAGATCAGTAAAGCCTAGCGTACATCGACAGAGAAACTGGAGACAACTAGTTGAAGGCGGCTTCTGGCGACTGAGAGGAGATGATGGAGATGATGGAGATGATGGAGATGATGGAGATGATGGAGATGATGGAGATGATGGAGATGATGGAGATGATGGAGATGATGGAGATGATGGAGATGATGGAGATGATGGAGATGATGGAGATGATGGAGATGATGGAGACGATGGAGATGATGGAGATGATGGAGATGATGGAGATGATCAGTTGAAATCGGTCGATGTGAGCGCTCTTACAACTGGAGATAAACAGTCGGTCTCCAGTTTCAGTCAGTTGCCCGTGTTCTACTTTTCGGCAACTAGTTGTCCTCAGTTTCGGAGATATGACCCGATGTGCGCGCTCCATGCGCCGCTCCGACAACGTGTGTGTATTGCGTGTATTGCGAGCCCGCAACAGTTTATGTCAGAAAACACACTGTAGTTGAGGCCAGTTGCTGTCGATGTACGCGCTGTTATTCCCCAGACTGGTCTGATACAGGAGTTGCTGTTATTCCTCAGACTGGTCTGATACAGGAGTTACCTGTTATTCCTCAGACTGGTCTGATACTGGAGTTACCTGTTATTCCCCAGACTGGTCTGATACAGGAGTTACCTGTTATTCCCCAGACTGGTCTGATACAGGAGTTACCTGTTATTCCCCAGACTGGTTTGATACAGGAGTTACCTGTTATTCCCCAGACTGGTCTGATACTGGAGTTACTGTTATTCCCCAGACTGGTCTGATACTGGGAGTTACCTGTTATTCCCCAGACTGGTCTGATACTGGGAGTTACCTGTTATTCCCCAGACTGGTCTGATACTGGGAGTTACCTGTTATTCCCCAGACTGGTCTGATACAGGAGTTGCCTGTTATTCCCCAGACTGGTCTGATACAGGAGTTACCTGTTATTCCACAGACTGGTCTGATACAGGAGTTACCTGTTATTCCTCAGACTGGTCTGATACAGGAGTTACTGTTATTCCACAGACTGGTCTGATACAGGAGTTACCTGTTATTCCACAGACTGGTCTGATACAGGAGTTACTGTTATTCCCCAGACTGGTCTGATACAGGAGTCGCCTGTTATTCCTCAGACTGGTCTGATACAGGAGTTACCTGTTATTCCCCAGACTGGTCTGATACAGGAGTTACCTGTTATTCCTCAGACTGGTCTGATACAGGAGTTGCCTGTTATTCCCCAGACTGGTCTGATACAGGAGTTACCTGTTATTCCTCAGACTGGTCTGATACAGGAGTTACTGTTATTCCCCAGACTGGTCTGATACAGGAGTCGCCTGTTATTCCCCAGACTGGTCTGATACAGGAGTTACCTGTTCTTCCCCAGACTGGCCTGATACAGGAGTCGCCTGTTATTCCCCAGACTGGTCTGATACAGGAGTCGCCTGTTATTCCCCAGACTGGTTTGATACAGGAGTCGCCTGTTATTCCTCAGACTGGTCTGATACAGGAGTTACCTGTTATTCCCCAGACTGGTCTGATACAGGAGTTGCCTGTTATTCCCCAGACTGGTCTGATACAGGAGTTACCTGTTATTCCACAGACTGGTCTGATACAGGAGTTACCTGTTATTCCTCAGACTGGTCTGATACAGGAGTTACCTGTTATTCCACAGACTGGTCTGATACAGGAGTTACCTGTTATTCCTCAGACTGGTCTGATACTGGGAGTTGCCCATTTTCGTCAGATTGTCGATGTGTGCGGGGCAGCAACTCATATGCGACGGATATAATCAGTTGCCAGTCCGATGTACGCTAGGCATAAGAGAGAGACCAGAGAGAGACCAGAGAGAGAGACCAGAGAGAGACCAGAGAGAGAGCAGTAAGAGAGAGACCAGAGAGAGATCAGTAAGAGAGAGACCAGAGAGAGATCAGTAAGAGAGAGACCAGAGAGAGATCAGTAAGAGAGAGACCAGAGAGAGATCAGTAAGAGAGAGACCAGAGAGAGATCAGTAAGAGAGAGAGCAGTAAGAGAGAGACCAGAGAGAGATCAGTAAGAGAGAGAGCAGAGAGAGATCAGTAAGAGAGAGACCAGAGAGAGATCAGTAAGAGAGAGACCAGAGAGAGATCAGTAAGAGAGAGACCAGAGAGAGAGACCAGAGAGAGAGACCAGAGAGAGATCAGTAAGAGAGAGACCAGTAAGAGAGAGACCAGAGAGGTATTTTCCACACGGTGAAGACCGAGACAGAACAGTCACCGTCCGTTCACTCGTCACACTCAGAAAACTATGGATCATGTTTTTAATGGAAGGAAAAACCAGAGCACGTGGAAGAAACCTACACAGAACATGCAGACTCCACAGAGAACGGTCTGAAGGGGGAATCGAACCCAGGACCTTCCACTGCGCTGACAAGTTAACAGTGACTCATCATTGTTATGCAGCTGAAATCTGTGATGGACCAGGAACACAGACTGAGTTTAAGCCTCACCTGAAGGATCCATACTCTGGTGGAGGCTGGTACCTCACGTAGGGGACCTCTCTGGAATGTTCCCTGGTCCTCTGCTGCTGCTGCTGCTGCTGCTGCTGCTGCTGCTGCTGCTGCTGCTGCTGCTGCTGCTCAGGGTAGTAGTGGCCGAGCTCCTGCCTGGAAGGGGACCCCAGGCCTCTGTAGGGGTAGTCTGGAGGCGGCCCTCTGTGCGGGGGCTTGTAGTACTCCCCTGGTCCAGGCGGGGGCAGTGTGGGTGACAGAGGAGCACTGGTCACAGGAGCGTGCGCCTTGACGCCACTGGTCGCTAACGACATCTGCATGAGGCGCTCGCTGAGGGAGCGCACGTGGCCCTGCTTCAGGTCCTTGAGC